CTCTAATATAACAGGCTAGGAAGTAAGTTCTTTTTTAGGCCTCGTAGAATCTATGTACGAGGTATATAAAACAAATTATTGACTGCTCTATATTCGGGAACAGTGAAATCTATTGCCCCTCGGTGATGTGGAGACCGTACCCTGTCTACGTACCCTATATAGATAATAATATATACATAGATGGCGCAACATTAATATCAGAATATATCTTTATTGTAATTACAATTATTATAATTATTATTACCGTAACAATTAAAATTATTATTATTATTATTATTATTATTATTATTATTATTATTATTATTATTATTATTATTATTATTATTATTAAAGTAACAATTATAACAAGATAGTCCGAGATTACAAACCCTCGCCTTGTTGCGACATATTTGTGTATATGTAATATTACCATGCTTTACATGTCAGGTTTTTATCTTAATATTTTTTAGTATAGTTTGAAAAGAGATTTGCCAATCTGATTTGAGAAGATATGGGTTCAACATTATACCATCTTGCTCACAGAAGAGCAGTTTTAGCCTCCCTTTCTTTATTTTATCAATCATTATGTTTTTTTTTTTTATTTTGTACATATGGTTTGTATGATCTCGTTCCACCATACAAATCATTTGTGCAGAACCAAGCAATTTGCAAGAAGCTTTTTCCCTCCTGGAGGACTGTTTCCGGGAGGAATATAACCACACTTGTTTTAAGCATAGACTAAATTTTCATCTCATCCACTTTGAAGTAATTCTCTAAAGTTTGCTCGATTTAGATCCTTTTTACCTTTTGTCCTGATTTTGTTAAACTTTATGTAGCCTTTACCTTGAGTGTCTTCTAGCCTTGTATTTGGCGATTTCCATAAAAAAAAAGGTAAAATATGGCCAAGCCGTAAAGGTGCACGTATTTAGTGTAAAGTAAATCGAATACATAAGTTTCAAGTCCCCCTCTTGTTTGTTTATTTTTTTAAAATTATTATTTTTTTGGTAATTTTACTGTTTGTGCATCTATAGAATACTTTTTTCATATTTTATTTTTCACATTTTTTTTCTTTTTTAAATTGGGACAGCAGATTTGAGATACGGCAGGAAAATATGAAGCTAATAATACCCGTCACACACTGAACTAGTTCGAAGAACGTTCCTGGCCGTTCTGAACATTTTATTGAAACGGGATGAGGACGGATTTAAACGTGCATTTTTGACTTTTACTACGACGCAACACAGTTTGAAGTAAGTCCATTACGATTGCAGACGGTTTGTAGAACGTTCGCACAACGCTTAAAACGGGAAGTCTCAATGTCGTTTGTAGTCTGTTCTTAACAAGTTCCAATCCGTCCTCAACCCGTTTAACCCCGTTTACAGTAAGTTTCAACCGGTTCTAGCACGTTTCTACACGGTTCACACTACGACGTGTCCGTTCAAACCAGTTCATGCTCAGTCTTTCCCATTTGCACTGTGTTTTCAGGCAGTCTTTAGCGAGCTTTCGAAATGGGCGACGCGGGGAGCTGCGGCGGGGAATTTAGTCAACCATAAACGTCGTACTATGCACTTCCCGTCTCAACATCAAAGCTGTTTCGATTTACAGGACGACGCGCTCCCTCGTATCGCATGATTAAAATTATGCAGGGGCCACAGCGAGCGCGTATTTATAAAACTCACGTTGCCGTAGTCAACACAACGCCAAATCGCTTAAAGCCCGTTGTCAAATCCACACAACGAACGGCTTCCCCGTGCATTCGCATGCGCAGTACGGTTTCACGCTCCACTGCCCGTCGTAGAACGCCGCATCGTCCAAGTGCATTAACACGTTCAGAACGGGGATCTGGGTCATGTTGCAGTCCGATCTGCTGTAATACGACCCATATCTAGCCTGTTCTCATTGCGATTCAGTACTTGCTATAGTAAACATGCCAAGGAAACAGAAGAGGCAAGGGAAAGGGACCTCAAAGAAATACATTGATGATTTTCCTGCTGATGACGATGCTGGCTCATCTACTCCTGCTGCTGATAAAGACAAAGAGGAGGAAGCTCTAAGGAAGTAAGGCACCATCATCACCTCATTCTAAAAAAATGATGAAGCAGAATCACAGATTCAACAGAGCAAGAAAAAAGGTCAATAACACTGAAACACCTCACCCGTGAGCAAGAGGAAATGATAGTGCAATGGCTGCAATCCAATGAAATAATTTACAATAAGAAAGTCTCAGAACCCGCTTCACCAAGTTAAGGAAGACAAAATATTATTATTATTATTATTATTATTATTATTATTATTATTATTATTATTATTATTATTATTATTATTATTATTATTATTATTATTTTTATTATTATTATTATTATTATTATTATTATTATTATTATAAAAATTACTATTACTATTATTACTATTACTATTATTACTATTACTATTATTATTATTGTTATATAATAATAATAATAATATGAACAGTTGACGGTCAATAATACGTCTCTAGAACCAAAGTATTTGAATAAAATGACTGCCACAATAGACATTAACCCTTGGTTCCAAAGCTGTTTCACTAACGTAGTGTAGTGTGGAGGGAGACACCAAGACGTAGACGTAATCATTAACCATTGACGATGGTAGGTGTAAGATCAACTATAATTTTACGCCAAGTATATTTAATAAACTTTCATAAAAACTTGTTTTGAAATTATATGCATATCGTAAATGCTCGAATAAGCGCCGCGGCGCTGGTAAACTTTTTGGACGCTTTAGTGAGGTGCTATTCGAGATCGGCGCTTATGAAAACAAATATTGGCATGGCGCATTATATGTCTGTTCATCTCATACTATGTATCTCTAGTATTCTCGTAGTTCGTTAGGTCTATTATTGGCCCTACGTCGTCGTAAATAAAAGTTTATAATGAAATGCTTCTGTGTATTCATAGTGTTATTTATTCATTTTAACACTGTTTACATTGTATTTAAAACCCTATTTCTCAAAGTGTTTTATTACAAACAGGGTAATTATACTTTCCATTAAGAGCCGCGATTAACGCTTATTCGAGAGCGGCGTTTATTCGAGCATGTACGGTACAAAAACAAGCAAGACGTAAGATAAAAAAAATTGGCGGTTTTGATAAACGTATCCCAGCGTCAATACAGAATCATCTCTGTATTTCGCGGCATTGGTGGCAGATCTTTTTTTCCTAGGTGAACGTCCCCATCAAAAAATTCATGTACAAGTAAATGAATAAATTCCATGATTAAATATATAAATTGACTTGTTTTTTTCCCCTTTAATTTAGCATGAAGTTGCTTCTGTACAGATGTTTGATCACCTAATCGAAAAAAACAAGTTGCGTAAGGAATTTACTAGATATCGTTTGGATGACACTGATATTACATTCATCAAGGAGCTAATCTATCCGCAAGTGAGTTAATCTTGCTTAAATTAAAAACCATATTATCTAGCTTGATGGTTAAAATTTCACCAGTCGCTCCGTGATATTAATCCATGTTAATACCAGGATTTCTTTTCATGACAAACACAATGGCTGTGTTCTCACACGGCTGCCAACGGTTAGCAGGATCCGGATCCTGCTAACCGTTAGTAGGTGGCGCTGTGGTAGAGCTGCCTCTGAAAGTGTCTTCAACATTTGCCTTAATTCTCCTGTTTTGCTTGTTTGTTACTGTTTTTGTTTGTCTTTGTCTTCTGGTATGTCTTTTTTGTTTTGTCCATTTTTGCCTGCTGCCAGGTCCGTAAGTAAACTTGCTTTTAATTTTCACTTTTTGCTAGGCCCTGGTCAGCATGTTCTGCTTGACCAAATCAATTTCTTGAGGCCTGTTGTCCCTTACCTACTACCTGCCACAGGCATATCTAGACCTAGGCCTAGCACAATAGGTGGATCTAGGCCTAGTACAGTAGGTAGATCTAGGCATAGCACAACAGGTAGATCTAGGCCTAAGCCTAACAAGTTGATCATTAAATATAATAGGAAATTATTACTCTCTCTGAACTGTAGCCATAAAGCCATTTTAACTCCTAATGCTTATGAACGGATTAAGGAGTTACATATCCTACGGCCAAGTCGTGGGTGTAGAGAAGGCCGACGAGTCAACTCCAAGCAAACTTTTTCCCTTAAGGAGCCCCCTTCACATAAATGTGTAAATAAAACTTGGGCATTAAATTCACTTATTTCTTTTAGCATACTTAATGCACGGTCACTGCGTAACAAATCTCATGATTTTGTTGACTTTGTTGTTGACCATAACCTTGACATTGTGGCAGTGTCCGAGACATGGCTGAGACCAGATGACGACATGGTTGTTGGCAATTTAACCCCATCTGGATATAGCTATAGGCATACTCCTAGGGCAGATAGAATAGGAGGTGGTGTTGGCATTCTCTTTAGATCTTGTTTAACTGTCAAAATTAAAACAGATGTTAGGCAATATAATTCTTTTGAAGCTATACATGCAGAGGTCACAGCTAAATCTAAGTCAGTTCGCCTCGTCAACATTTATCGACCACCTGCATTGTCCATTGCTGAATTTCTTAGTGATTTTGAAAGAATGGTTGCTGAATATCTTATGCATCCATCTGAGGTTGTCTTTTGTGGCGACTTTAATATTTACATGGATGATGATAATGACATGGCAGCAAATAATTTCAAAAACACTACTGACATCCTTTGGTTTTCTGCAGCATGTAAATGAGGCCACACATTGTGGTGGGCACTGCCTTGATCTGTTGATCACTCGAGATCTTTCATTGCTGTCTGAATTACACATCCACCCCGGTCTTTCAGATCATTTTGCAATTATTTGCAAGCTTAATTTAAAAAAACCTCCACTACAAAAAATTCTCGTTAAGAGACGTGATCTCAGACGAGTTGATATGAATGCACTTAAAAATGATGTTCAGCCTCATCTTTTGAATTCCCTCTCCGTTGACAGGGATATAGATGCTTGTGCTAAGCATTCTACTGATTTGAGACTAGTTCTTGATCGGTATGCACCAGTAAAGGCAAAAACCATCAAACTTAAGTCATCTAAGCTCTAGTTTACGGATGAGATACGCACTGCACGGAAAATCCGCCGTCAACTTGAAAGGAAATGGATGAAATCAAGGGCTCATCTTGACAGGCAAAAATACTGCAATCAAAGATGTTTGGTTCCTAATTTCACTGAACAAGCAAACAGAGTACTCTTCTGCTCTTGTTAAAGACTGTTCAGGTGATCAGAAGAAACTGTTCAAGGTTTTAAATGACCTTCTACACCGCTAAAAGTCATCAGTTCTTCCATTTACTGTTTCTGACAAAGATCTTGCTGAGAGGTTTTCTGTGTTTTTTGTTAACAAAGTTCGGAAAATTCAGGATACTTTGATCCATGATAACTCTCAGGACAATACTGATTCTTCCTTAATTTCTGGTTCTTGTCATACGCCCACACTGTTTGAGGAGTTTGAATCCCAAAGTGAGGAAGAGATATCTGACCTTATTAGAAATTCAACACTGTATCACCACTTGACCCTGTACCAGTTTCCTTGATCAGAAAATCTATCCATGTCTTTGTTCCATTCATCACTAATATAGTCAATAAGTCTTTGGAATGTGGCTGTTTTCCTGCTGCTTTTAAGATTGCACATATTCGCCCTACACTGAAGAAATCCAACCTTGATCCTGAAATTCTGAATAATTATAGGCCTATTTCAAATTTAAGTTTCATAGGGAAGACAATAGAGAGAGTTGCATCAACAAGATTTTTGGCACACATTCAAACACACGCTCTGCTTGACCCGTTCCAGTCTGCATATAGAGCACACCACAGCACGGAAACCGCCTTACTTTATGTTCACAATGACACCCTGCGTGCTATGGATGAGGGGAAACTCACTGCTCTAGTGCTATTGGATATGAGTGCTGCGTTCGACACTGTTGACCATAGTATTTTGCTTGCTAGACTTAGTAAGTATATTGGTGTTAAAGGCCGTGCATTGGAATGGTGCCAGTCGTACTTGTCTCATAGACCTCAACATGTATGTGTGGGAGAAGCCGTTTCTGAACCGGTCTTCTTGAATCATTCTGTACCACAGGGATCTGTCCTCGGACCCCAGTGGTTTACTATTTACATATACCCAATCCGAGATATTATTAGTAGATATAATCTATCTTACCATGTGTATGCTGATGATACACAGATTTACCTTTCATTTAAGCCTACAATTTCACAAAGTCATATTTCTCTTGAATCTCTTGAAAATTGCATCTCCGAGTTGCGTAGGTGGATGAAACAAAACTTCCTTAAACTAAATGATGAAAAGACGGAATACATTTTATTGGGTTCACGTCAACAGCTTGAAAAACTTCCACAAAATTACCTCACCATTGGAGAATCTCAAATTTACTCCTCACCGCTTGTTAGGAACCTTGGTGTTATTATGGATTCTACTTTAACAATGAGTAATCACATCTCTAAAATTACCTCCACTTCATCTTTCCATATACGCCATATTCGTAATATTTGAAAATACATTGACAAAACAGCGGCCGAACAACTTGTGCACTCATTTGTCACCTCCCGTCTCGATATAGGGAACTCTCTGCTATATGGACTTCCACAAAAACATTTACACTGCCTTCAATTAATTCAAAATTCGGCTGCACGTCTAATCAATAAAACTCCAAAATATGCACATATTACCAACATTCTGAAAGATTTACACTGGCTTCCTCTAACGCACCGGATTATTTACAAAATTTTGCTGATCGTTTTTAAATTCAAAACTGACTTGGTTCCAGACTACATCGCAGATATGCTCCATTGGTATGCTCCTAAACGTAACTTACGTTCTTCCAATCAACTCCTCCTGCATCAGCCCAACTCTCACAATTCCTGGGGAGACAGAGCCTTTTTTGTTGCTGCTCCACGCTTGTGGAACAATCTGCCTTTCACAATTAGATTCTGTGAGTCAATAAATACTTTCAAATTGTCTCTGAAATCACATCTGCTAAGAGATGCCTTTCCAACATTAGACGGTAAGTAGTTAGGAAATAAGAGTAGTGCATAGCTGCCCTGTCATGAAAAACTCACTCAACTGCATTTAACAAAGTTCTGAGATAATCAACAAAACGTGGTATTGTCTTTGCTCTCTTCATGCGTAAATAATTAAATCCTTATTTTCACACGATTTTAGATGTTTTATAAGTACTGTTCATTGTGTAGAACTTGTATTTTTAATTACTCTACATAATATGCAATATGTCACATTTATTGTTTTTTTCATGACATAATTGGTCAATCGCATATAAGAAAAACATGAAAGACTCACTCAACTGCATTTGTCATGAAAGAATTAACTTAACTACAGTATTTATTGAATATAAAAACATGTTATATTATCAAATAATATTACTTTAAGATGATAAGTGATATTATATCAACTTTTGTGAGTAAATTTATCGTTAGGCATATTTTTTTTTACTATGATGGCAGAGGCATAGAATAGAATACAGAAGCACGCATACTCAATATAGCACCCTGTTTATGATTGTCTAATCTAGGCCTATGATTGTTAGGCTTCAAATATTTTGAAGATTGCAGATAATTAAATTTAAATGTGATTATATTTTAAATGCAAATTAAAAAAAAATGATTTCCAGTTGTATTTCTTGGTATTTCTGCCATTATTTTCGGACAATGCTCTCTTTATTTGTCTTCAAGAAATTCTCTGTTTAATCCTCTTTTATCATTTTTTAAAAACAGTTTTCTATAGTTCCATTTTTTAGAAATTCATCCTATTTTGTTTTTCATATAAAGTTAAATATCAAACAGAAGAACAATATATGTTTCATAGGTAATAAATAGTGCATTATAATAATCTATCAGAGCGATATTAGAAAAATAAGATATAAAAAAAGACAAATTAAATAAGAAAGTATGAACATGCCTCCTTTATACATATTGGGAGCTGCTTCCATAATGATCCCCTCCCAGAAGTAACATCGATATCCATATTTTGCTAGTAGGACTAATGCCAAAAAAAAATATAAGATAATATTTCCTTAATACCAATATTGTGCACCAATGAAGATATTGTTTATAATGATTTCATTCTGAAAGTAATGTTATATACATTAAACAATTGTCTTTCTCAATGATAAACAGTATACAGCACTATGCAGTTGAGTGGGTTTCTCATGATAAACTATTACACAATAGGTATTAAATGCCAGTTAAGTGAAGTCTTTCATAACATTTGCAGTTGAGTGCGTCTTTGCTGACAAAAGTAACACAGACTTGCAGTTGAGTGATTTTTTATTTTTTAAATTTCATATTTTCCGTTATAATTCCAAAAATCTGAATACATCACAAGATGTGTTATATCCCCAAAAGTGCAAAACGCTGAAAAAGTGCATTTTGAAAAAATTGT